TTTTAACTACATTTAATTTTTTAACTACATTTAATTTTTTAACTACATTTAATTTTTTAACTACATTTACTTTTTTAACTACATTTAATTTTTTAACTACATTTAATTTTTTAACTACATTTACTTTTTTAACTACATTTAATTTTTTAACTACATTTAATTTTTTAACTACATTTAAATTTTTAACTACATTTAATTTTTTAACTACATTTAATTTTTTAACTACATTTAATTTTTAACTACATTTAATTTTTTAACTACATTTAATTTTTTAACTACATTTAATTTTTTAACTACATTTAATTTTTTAACTACATTTAATTTTTTAACTACATTTAATTTTTTAACTACATTTAATTTTTTAACTACATTTAATTTTTTAACTACATTTAATTTTTTAACTACATTTAATTTTTTAACTACATTTACTTTTTTAACTACATTTAATTTTTTAACTACATTTAATTTTTTAACTACATTTAATTTTTTAACTACATTTAATTTTTTAACTACATTTAATTTTTTAACTACATTTAATTTTTTAACTACATTTAATTTTTAACTACATTTAATTTTTTAACTACATTTAATTTTTTAACTACATTTAATTTTTTAACTACATTTAATTTTTTAACTACATTTAATTTTTTAACTACATTTAATTTTTTAACTACATTTAATTTTTTAACTACATTTAATTTTTTAACTACATTTAATTTTTTAACTACATTTAATTTTTTAACTACATTTAGATTCTTTAAATGTGGATATTTTGATCAATTGTTTATTACATGCAATGGTGACGAATTAATGACTGATTATTTGCAGCATTCTGATTAAATAAATTTATTTTTATGAACAAAATCTGTTCTGGTTTTTGTAGGCGAATTAAGAAATTAGGTTTTTTTTTTCAAAACTAGTATTAATATTTTATTTAGGCAGCATAAAGCGTAAGAGCAGTTTTCATTATCTTGTTTTACCTTTTTAACTTATTAACTTGATAATTAACGTTCCAGGAGTTTTCTTATAACTTAACAGATAGTTTTATGTTTTTGTTTAAATTACACGCTCGCCTTGAAGTAATTAAAATTATCAGATGAGAATTTACATTTAATGTGAATCCATGATTAACAAATTCTTTTTTTCATTTAAGATTATATATAGTTCTTTTACAATAAAATTGTTTTTTTGTTTCTCTCATTTTTATTTTTTTGTTTCTCTTTTAAACAAATTTTTTTTTCTTACTTCCTTTAGGGTAGGGTGGGGCAAGATGACCAGTGGGGCAAGAAGTCTTTTTGCTTTTGTGAGGGCATCATGAAATAGTAATAATTTATTCCTCTATTATAATATTAATATAGTTAAAACAGTATCACGGAACAAAAAATAGTTTAAATATCGTTATTAGTTAAGGTTTAAATAGATTTTTAACTTTTTTGAGTATTTTGTTAGTAAGTTGCTTCTAATTTCAAACGTTTATTGGACTGGCAATACTTATGCGATGAAGGTAAGAAAATAGTTTTTTTTATGCAGAATTCGTCCCACAATAATATATAGAAAAAAAGTTTTTAATTAAGCAACAAAATTAGTTTTATTTGTATTAAACTTGCACTCACTACATATGAGGCAAGATGTCCTTGTTTACTTGGGGTAAGATGCCCACGGAGGGCTTCTAGTCTCGTGGTTTTACGGAATTTCTACCATTTTAAAAGTGTGTTTAGAACATAATAACGTTTACTAATTTAGTTATTGACTTTGTTTACATGTTGGTTTATGTGTTGATAACTATTACACATATATATAAACAATTTTTTAAAATAATGTAAATATTTTTAAAATGTTATAATATGTATGCTAAATAAAGTGAAGTGTGAAGTTGTATTACATGCAGTTACTGCAATTCAATCCATACTTGTAAAACATTTATAAATTATTTATAAATGTATATATAAATGTATTATAAATACATTTTTAAAATTTGCATTGCATTAGGAGAAATAAAGTTGTATTATATCAAATTAATGATCAGCAATTGAATGTAAATAATAATAATAACAATAATAAATTAAAAAAAATAATAATACCATTGTTATTAATAATTCTTGCGTAATGTGCAAAAATTGTATGCATATAACTTTAGTAAGTTCTTATTTAACTTAAGAAGAGTTAATTTATGAATGTAAGGTAATGTTTGAAACAATAGTATAGTAAATAATTATATAATATTTTGCATGTGTTTATATGTTTATAAAATTTAATTTTAAAATTTTTATTTAGAAACATATTTAAACAATTTAAATAATGGTGAGAAATTATGTGCGAAAAACACAGAGAGGTGCAACTAATGATAGGATAAATCAGCGTTAGAAGCAATAGATATACGTCGCCTAGCATATGATTTTGCTAAACAAATGGGAATTGAAAATCCTTTTAATAATGAATCAAAAATGGCAGGAAAGGATTGGCTGCAAGGATTTATGTCTCGCAACCCACAACTTTCTATTCGAACCCCACAAGCCACCAGTGTAAGCAGAGCTGTTGGCTTCAATAAACCACAGTTAAATCAGTTTTTTTCAGTATACAAGTCATTATTTGAGGAACATAAGTTTTCAGCCAAACAGCTCTGGAATATGGATGAAACTGGAACAACAAATGTCCATAAGCCAGGAAAAATAATTGCAACAAAGGGAAAACAACAAGTTTCAAAAATAACTAGTGGAGAAAGAGGTGCTACTGTGACTGTCGTGTTTGCAATAAGTGCAAGTGGTGTTTATGTCCCACCATTATTTATATTCCCCCGTAAGCAAATGACTGATAGGCTGGCTTTTGGTGCACCTTCAGGGTCAATTGTTAGAGTTAGATTCAGTGGATGAACAGATTCATCTTTATTCATCGAATGGTTAACACATTTTGTTACTGTGACTCATGCATCTAAAAATAATGAGCAATTAATTTTACTCAATGGTCATCATAGTCACAAAACACTTCTAGCCATTAACTTTTGTCGCAACAATGGTATTCACCTCATAACTCTTCCACCTCATTGTTCACACAAAATGCAACCTTTAGACCGTACATTTTTCGAACCATTGAAAGTTGGTTACAATACTGCAGCAAGCAACTGGATGTTATCGCATCAGGGGCGTAGAATTTCATTTTTTGACATGGCAGGTATTTTTACAACTGCCTATAACTTCACTGCAAACATTGACAAAGCAATCAATGGATTTAGATGCTCTGGTTTATACCCAATAAATAAGCTTATTTTTAACGATGAAGCCTTTGATGCAGCTTTGCTCACTGATGAAGCTATACCGTTGGAAAGCTGTCAGCAATCAAGTGATTTGCCTAGTATACCTCTTGTTGCACCTATACAGTTGCCAGATGTCATAAGCACAGCAACTGTTGCCTCAAAAATGAAGACTGTTACGAAAGAACCAGCACAATCAAATGATGCAGTTTTGCCAGTTGTTGATGAGCATCTTGGCCTTAAGTCCGCCCTCTAATATTTTGGAAAAGATTTCCCGGCGTCCTAAAATTACTGTATTAAAACAGCGTAAAAGAAAGACAGAATCAGCTGAAAATCTTACTTCTTCGCCTTTTAAGAAGAGATTAGAAGAACATGAAAACAACGTAAAAGAAAAGCAATAAGAAGCAATATTGCGTAAAGAAAAAGCTGCACTTAATAAGGTAATCAAGCGAAAAAAAGAAATCAATAAATTTGAGGACAAAAAAACCAAAGAAGTCTAAAAAGCAGAAAGCCTCTCAATGTTTTATTACTAATACTACTTTATGCATCATATGCTCTTGTGCTTATAATGTGCCCCCATTTGATGATTGGACACAATGTACTAAATGTACATCTTGGTACCACTCTTCGTGTGGTCCAGATGATTCAGACTTATGCTACTACTGTGAATCATAGTCATGTAAATACATCGTTATTAGAACATTTATTTTAGTTATTTATTGCTAATAATTAAAAAAGAAGTTATTTATCTTCAAGACAATTGTATAGAATAATTGCATAGTATTTATTTGCAATGTTAATATTTCAGTTGTTTTAATAAAATGTAAAGAGTAAATAAAAAAAACTAATAAGGGCTTTTATTTTTAAGAACTTTAAGTTATTTTTAACTACTGTTTTAATGGTTTGGGGAATAACGCGTGAAAAGCTTTCTTTCTTTAAATCCATAGAGCATCTTGCCCCACCACTGGGGCAAGATGTCTTCTGGCACAAGTTTTTTTTTTTGTTTTAAAGTTTAACAACAGTAACAAAGTAGTGTTGATAAACTTTAAAATCAAAAAAAACTTACCAATGTCTTCTCTTATAAGTAAACTTTAATATTAAAAAGAAAAAAACACAAGAAAATGTAAAAGTATTTATTATATACGATAAAGTTTGTTAAGGGGGGCATCTTGCCCGACCCTACCCTAATATTTTAATTTCAAAAAATAATATTGTTATAAATTCTCCTAATTTAAAGAATTTATCAGGCAATTGACGTATTTCACTGAGATCATTTTCTCTGAAATCTGACGTATTTGGGTCGATCTTTTGCAATCATCCTCTAAATGGGAAAATTTTGAGATAGAGGATTTAAGAGCTGGAAAAAACTTTCTACTTAAAATTATGCTTTGTTTAATCCAAATCATGCTTAACTAAACATTTTTAAAAACAAAATTTTATCTTGAAAAAGTGAAATTAATTTATCCGCAAAATAAACTGCGGAAACATTATCTTAAAATTGTGCAGTTTTTTTTTTCTTAATTAATTAAAGTACTTCAAATTATTGGTCATATTATGGAGCACCGCAAAAGAGCATTTAACTAGCTAACGCCTCCTTCAATGTCGCTATTTGGGGTAACCAAAAACCTCATGGTAATGAGCCTGAACTCTAACCACTGTACCAAGGCTTTGTAAAATTAAAGTTTGATTTTAAATATGTGTTTAAGCTTTAATTAGTGATTTCTTAATTAAAAATTTAAATTAAGTTATTTACCCATCCATTGTTGAGTTTGAGATGTTAAAATCTGCTCATAAGTTCCTTCCAACTTCAAACATGCTGAAAAATTCAAGTTTTTTGATATACTTTTTTCGAACTCATTGTTTGTAATCGACAACCACTTTTTATATACTTTATGATACATCAAGTAAGTTTTTTGATTTCGATGTATAACATACAAATCTCTTGTTAATATATGATGACCAAGAACAGAGCCCACAAGAAGATCTAATTCTACAACAATAAATTGTTTATAAAAAAAACAGAAGATTATTAACAGCAAAAAAAAAAAAAAAAAACTTTAAATAAAAGAATTGCATTTTTTAAAATAAAATTATATTGTAATGAGAAAGCAGCAGTTACTTCTCCATTTTTCACCGAAGTTGCTTGAAAAATAACATGCCGTCTTCTGGCTATAAAAATAAGTTTATTATTATAAATTTTTTTAACAAGAGTTTGTAGCAAACAATGCATAAAACAATAAACGTTATTCTTTACGTAACAACTCATAATCAGTTTACTGACAAATTTGTTTACGCCTAACCAATAATTATTTTTACGTTGTTACATATAAATTCATGCAAGCATATATCCAAGATTCGACATGATCCCAGCAAATACCACGACTATAGCTTTCTAAAAATAAAAACAGAAACGCCTTTTGTATTCTGGAAAAGAAAAATTATTAGGTATGTCTGGGATTCTAGATTGCTCTGCAAAATATTCCTAGAAAAGCAACTTAGTTTAATGTAATGTTTATCAATTTCCTGACTAGCCTATAGGCACAAAAACAACATAATTAAATAAATTTAACAACATAATTTAAATAAATTTTCTTAACAATCCAACAAAACTCAGATCTTTACTTTAATTAATTCGAATAATTAGTAAATGGAGTTATATATAACAATTTATAGGTTATTAGAACAATTTAGAAATTAGTTTTATTGTAACAGGTATTTGTAAAAAATTTTTGTAGAATGTAATTTGTTTGTTAAGTATGCAAACATCATTTTCATGCAAATGATTCTTTTTAAGTTAGTGACAACATTTTATTGATTTATATAGAAATTTAAATGATGATGAGAATATATTGTTTAAATTAATAAAATTTTAAAGCATCAAATATTGCATTTAATCAAATATTGCATTTAATAAAAATGTTTGCTTCATCTAACTTGATAATCAAAATTTTATCTGTTGCTCTGATGCCATTATTTTAAAAACTTTAACTGGGTTACACAGCCTTGGATTTTATTCCCAAAAGATCATATTCCGTTTATACGCGCCAATAAACATTTATACATGCCAATATACGTTTATACACGCCAATAAACATTTATACACGCCAATAAAAAAAACATTTTTCTACTTAGATTTTTTTCTCATATTTTAACAATTAGGTAAGCAATTAAAACTGAATTTGTAATGTGAAGACCATAACTTTATTTCCGAGATAAAAATTTCAACAAAACTCATGAGTTATTTTTATCTTATGATTTATTTTTTGTTACTAAGGTAAACTAAGCCCATAGCATTACAAAAATTTGCAGTTGATAATTTGTCTAATTAACAGTTTTTAATTACCGATTAAAAAGTTGTATCAAATATTTAAAAATGGCTGATCGTTTATTTTAAGCCTTTTAACCTGTTTTTAAATGCATTATATATATATATATATATATATATATATATATATATATATATATATATATATATATATATATATATATATATATATATATATATATATATATATATATATATATATGAAATAATTAAAAACCTTTTAATGCGTTATTTTCTCTTTTAATTATTAAATTTGAATGGTAAGAAGTTACATTTGTTTTAAACGATGTATATAGGTCTATTGTACATCCTGCACTATCATTAAATGAAACCTTTAATGGAATCTCTAGGGTAAAGTCGCCACACAGTGAGCAGCTTGTCATGTCTAAAGTTACATTCATATATTGATTTATGTTATTTGTCACAAACGCGCCAGGTACCTAACAAAAAAAAGCAAAATAATAAAAAACTAATTATTTGAGTAATACATTTTTTTAGATTGAGAAAAATAAAATGTATAAAATATAAAAATAAAAGGTAAAAACTAGCTAATGTAAAAGTAAATTTTAGGCATTAGTTTTTTTAGCGTTGATATTGATATACATTAGTTTTGCTTCGTAAATTAACTAGAGCAAAACATATAACTTTGTGGACAGCACACATCAAATCAAATAACTTTAAAAAACAATTAAGCAGTTAAAAATAGGCTTATAAATAAAAAAGATAAGCCAATATATTACAATGCTTATACTTTACATCAAAAATAAATAAACAAAATCAAGAAATAATTTAAAATTAAATAAACAAAAAAGTTTAAGTAAAAAGAGTTGCACATAAAAAAGATATGCTTGTACATAATAATAAATAAGTTACAATTTTTATATTTAACACCAAATTTAAAATAAATAAAAAACAAGAAACAATAAAAGTTTACAAACAAGAAAGTTAAAAAAAAAGAGTTTAAAATTGACAAACATTACGAAAAGAGTTGAAAAGTTGCTGTTTTGAAAAATATTTTTGAAGAGACTAGACTTATGCACTACATGGTATCATTATCTAGAGAGTTCTGAAACCAGGTAGGTCTTTACGGAACGCGGAAGAAATTTGTTGCGACACATTTTTTAACATATTTGTAAACATATTTTTCTTAAATGATGGATTTAGGTTATTTATGGACTAAAATATTTTTTAATAAGAAATCCTAAATTTCTTTCGTAAACCATAGAACTATTGTTTTAAACCAATAACTCTTTAAAAGGAAAGTCGAAACTTATGTGCATTATGCAAAGGTTATTTAATAAAATTTTATTAATAAGCATGTTGCCATACTTTGAACGAAAAATCCAAATTGACAAACAACATAAAAAACTCGATAAAATAGTTGAATAAGACTGTGACGTTTTTATGTGTTAAAAAATTTCTTATGAGAGCAAGAACATAGCATTTTTTACTAGCTTTACTACATAAGAATTTTATGTGTTCATCAAAGTTTAAGTTATCAGCTATAGTAATACACTTGTATTATTAATAGTGTAATATTACCTGATTGCTATAATACCAATAGTATTTGATAACAAAAAATTAAATTTAGTGTAACCTCGAAGAACAATTGAACTTTAACATTCGCATTTTTTAAAGATATGTAGCAGGTTAATTTTTGTCTAAAATGTTACAACCTACTAACTAATAAAGTTAACACAGCTAACAATCGAAATTTTGAAACCAGCATTATTCTTATCACAATATGAGTATATTTATTATATATTAGGTATTTATTCTAGCTATGTAATTTATTTAATTTAGTTAATAAATATTGTTTACCATTGATTACTTTAAAATTTTTTAATTACAGTTTACTAAATAAAATCAAAACATATATTTTTATGAACAAGCCAGACAAATATAAATATTAAAAAAAAAAAATACAATTTAACTGTAGCTAACAACACCATTTGATCGATAGCTACATATTGTAATTTTGCAGCTTATTATAGCATAACAAAAAATCTATTAAATAATAGTCGTTGCTGTTTTCAACTAAGAAAAAGTAAAAGTGTCTACAGCAAAAAAATTATGTTAATAAAATGAATTACCAAATACCAAATATACCAAAAAAGGTATTTTTTTTGGTACATTTTCACTAACACGAATAAATGTCGCTAGCTTATGCAGCTAGCAATCTTCACGGTCAAAATGTTGTTTTTAATGATAAAAAAACTGCTAGCTAGTCGAATATATAGTGGAGACCGTGGTTGGTTGCAACAAAATTTTAAAAACATAATTTATACCCTTTAAATATATATTTTTTCGATTTTATTTTTCAGGGTTATAAAAGAGATTTTAGTTACATATTAATCCAACATTGATAAATAAAATATCAAATTTAGTTATTCCGCAATAGTGAAACAAAATTATGTTGCATTTTACCCCGCACCGGGGCGAATTGCAACAGTGCACAGGGCAAGTTGCAACACAATACTTTTAAAGTATAAACTTTGCAGAGTTCACATAAAAATTACTAGTTAATTGGTAATTTCTATTTAGCAACAAAACATAATTAAAATAAAATAATAGTAGTATTTTAGACTTGACATGTACTTGACATGTTTAGTAAACTAATGTTTACATTCAAAGACTTTAAAAACTGAAGAAGTAAAATAATAAATATTTAAGCTCATATATTATTTAAACTTTCAAGTGTTTTTTTAAAAAAGCATTCCTTTAGTTATTCAGTAAACATTAAATCAATTTATAAAAATGCAAGAGTAGATTTATAAATAATATAAAACACAACTTTCATAAAAATAAACCATAATCTAGTTTGATTACAAAAAAAAATAATTCCGAACAATAAAGGCTTATGAAAAAACTAACTAGCATTAAAGAAACTAAAGAGTTTCATTACATTTTATGTCAACAATTATATTTTTTTATTGTTTTTTTTTTGATGCAGAAGTACAAGCAGATTTTCGCTTTCTAGAACTAATTTCTTTTTCAGCCATATGACGCTGTTTTACTGGTGTATCTGTGAATATTTCTGTATGCTTTCTCTTTGATTTTGTGAATATTTAGTTCCTGGGTTGTGCTTTTGGTAGCGGTCTTACAACCTCAGGGGAAAATTTTGAAACCGGAGATGGAATTGCATCTGAGGTTGAAGTTGATATACTAATATCAATAGCTGCATTAGATTGGGTTGCTAGACGATCCGTAACAAATGATGAAGCAAAATCTGCGTCTGAAAATATACCCTTATTATATGGTAATATTCCTGCCACTCTAAGACCAGAAGATATACTTTGTTGTGTAAGAGAATGTTGTAATGCTATTTTTGCAATTCCTGGTAAATCTTATATACTCATTATTTTCCCTGGACTACTTTTTATCTATGAGTCTTGTGCATTTGCTAAGCATTTTTTAAATGGTCCGAATACAGATCTATCTAGAAGTTGCAACTTATGCGAGCAATGAGGAGGGAAAGAAAGCAAAATTATACCATTATCTTTACACAATGTTATTAATTGAATAGATAAATGAGATTTTATTTGCATTCACTCCCAACAAGGCTGCAAGCAACCACTATTAAGTTGGGAGTTACTAGGAATAAAAAGAACAGAGTTATAGAGCAAGGAAACGGTTGACAGAAGATTTGAAAAGTTGGAGGTTGTATGAGTCAGGAAAACATGAGAATGGGAGAGAGTTCTAAAGATTTAAGTACGGGGAAAAAAACTAGATGAATAAAAGTTTTTAGAGCATGCAGGGACAGATACAGTAAACGAATAAGACTTATCTGAATGACGAGTAAAACGAGAATGAATTTTAAGTGATGGAACTAGAGATGATAACTCCTTTGAGCAGTGACCATGATAGTATTTGTAGAAAAGAGAAAGAGATGCAACTTTACAACGATGGGAAAGAGGCTCAAGCTTAGCAGATAGTCCAGGTTCAACAACGTTTACAATGCGTTTTTGGACCTTGTCAAGAAGAGAAAGTGAATCGTTAGAAGAACCAGCCCAAATATGACAACATTATTCCATACAGGGACGAATAAGAGATTTGTAGAGGTAGAGAATGGAATCAGAAGTAAGGAAATGGTGAGCACGATAAAGAGAAGCAACCTTAGCAGAAGCTAATTTAGCAATTGATTGTATATATGGTTTCCATGAAAGGTCAGTAGTAAGCGATAATCCAAGAAGACGTAAAGAGGAAGACTCAGTAAGAGGATTGCCATTCATTAATATAGGAATGTTGACCATATTACGGTAGTTGTTTGCAGTTAACAACTGGGTTTTGTTAGAGTTGAAATTCTCAAGCCACTGTGAATTACAAAATATTATTGAAGTGAGATCGGATTCAAGATCAGCTGCTTGTTCTAGGAGATCGAAAAGAGAAGACTTTTTGTCAAGAAAGGAGAATAAAGTTGAGTCATCAGCAAAAAGAGCTACTTTAGATGAAAGGTTGTCAGGAAGATTGTTTATGTAGATAAGAAATAAAACAGGGCCCATGATGGAATCTTGGGGAACCCCAGAAGTTACTGGAAATAAAGAAGAGCGTTGGGCTTCAAGGATGACTTTAATAAACCGGTTAGAAAGAAATGATTTGATAATCTCAAAAACTTTTCCAGAAACACCATATGAAGCAAGCTTATGGAAAAGACCAGCATGCCAAACTTTGTCGAAAGCTTTAGATATGTCGAGAGCAATAGCCTTAGCCTCACCTCCTCCATCTAATGCACGATAAAATCTTTCAGTTACAGCAGTTAGCAAGTCGGCCGAAGAGCGAGAGGATCGAAAACCATATTGATTGTCTGACAGTAGTTTATTTGACTCAAGATATACAGGATAAGGTAGTGGCATTCCCATATCAACAGCTTTTTTAACTTTTTTTATATAAGTAGAAAGAGTCGAGTAGTGGATTCCAAATTTTTTTGCTGATGCGCGAATTGGTGTTACTCTTCCATCAATAACGTGGCTTGCTGCCTCTATTACTACTTCTTTTGGATAAAGTCCTTTTTCAGTTTTTCTCTTGTAAGTTCGCATTTACAATTTTTGTTAAACTTCTAAATAACAGTTCAATCAAATAAAAATAAACAAACACATTACAAATATCATTTTACATAATTTAGTCTAAATTGCTACATTTTTTTATATATTTATTAATGTTTTAAGTATGTACTTAATAATAATAATATTTTAATAATGTAATGATAATTTTTATGTATGTATGTATATTAATGTATATATATATATATATATATATATATATATATATATATATATATATATATATATATATATATATATATATTTATATATATATATATATATATATATATATATATATATATATATATATATATATATATATATATATATGTATATATATGTATATATATATATATATGTATATATATGTCTTTGAATATAAAAGATAAGTTTATATTCTATGTTTATATTTATATTCGAGGATTATATAACCCTCGAATATAAATATAAACATAGTATATAAACTTATCTTTTATATTATTAGACATATATACATATGCTTTATAAATATAACATACATATGTACGTTACATAGCCTTATCTTTAAAATTATGATTTTTTTTCAAAAACTTCTTTGCTGTCTTGTTATTATTAAAAAAACGTCCATTATTTAAGAAATAACTAGAAAAGTGCGTAAAATCAATAACATCCGCAGTTCTTTTGTGATTCAACTCACCCCGAGCAATTTGATGCAAATTACCCCGTAGGCATCATGATCACTCTAATCAATGCATACAATTAGTCATATTAAAAAAATCTATTTTTTTTTTACTTTTTGTGTTTGAAAAAGATTTTTTTAACTTACTATTATTTTATTATTGTCATATACTTCTCAGTTTTTTGTAAAACCCAATAAACATTGAAACGAAAATTAGAAGTTTATATA